TACTTTTTTAATCATTGACTTAACCATGATACCAAAGCTGTTCTTTGACAGTTCGTCCGTGAGTAAACACATATTTTGAATGTATTCGCGGTCTATGCCCACAAAAGCGATGTTTACTACATACAAAAAAAATTAATAAACGCTTTATTTTCTTCTTCCAGGTAAACAACCGTACGGCCGGATGACAGGCAAAGAGCTAATGAAGCTTCTCCCAGGTGGCTACAGGCTGGAGAAACCCGCTCTGTGTCCGCCAGATGTGTACGTTTGCAGCCTTGCATATTTTTTTATTTATTTAGTTTTATTTATTGAAATTGCAAGAGTGCAATACAGCTGTTGCTGGTGTTGTGTCCCGCACATAGAAACAAATACACATTTTCACTTGAATCTAGTAGGGAAAGTCGTGTAAAAGTGCCTTTCCCAAGGGCACAAGATCGGTGGCATGTCGGGACTCGAACCCGGGACCTCTTGATTCCGAGTCGCGCACGCTGCCGTTGCACCTCACGACCCCACCCGTCGTCATCAGCTCTTTTGTGTAACTTGACGGAATTCCGAGACGATTTACGTTTTCTTTTTATTTACTGACCGATACAGATACACATTGAACACCAACGCCTCTTGAAACATTTCTGTACCCAACAGTTACGAGGTGATGAAGAGCTGCTGGGAAACTCTTCCTGAGAACAGGCCAACTTTCCCTGAGCTGAAGGCAACACTGGATCGGATCATCCAAGATCACAAGGTACAGTTTTACATAGGAGGTTTTATATTTGTTTTTATGTTCAAGATCACGAGGTAAAGTTTTATATAGGAGGTTTTATATTTGTTTTTATGTTCAAGATCACAAGGTACAGTTTTATATAGAAGGTTTTATATTTGTTTTTATGTTCAAGATCACAAGGTAAAGTTTTATATAGGAGGTTTTATATTTGTTTTTATGTTCAATGATCACAAGGTAAAGTTTTACATAGAAGGTTTTATATTTGTTTTCATGTTCAAGATCACAAGGTAAAGTTTTATATAGGAGGTTTTATATTTGTTTTTATGTTCAAGATCACGAGGTAAAGTTTTACATAGGAGGTTTTATATTTGTTTTCATGTTCAAGATCACAAGGTAAAGTTTTATATAGAAGGTTTTATATTTGTTTTTATGTTCAAGATCACAAGGTAAAGTTTTCCATAGGAGGTTTTATATTTGTTTTCATGTTCAAGATCACAAGGTAAAGTTTTACATAGAAGGTTTTATATTTGTTTTTATGTTCAAGATCACAAGATAAAGTTTTACATAGAAGGTTTTATATTTGTTTTCATGTTCATTTACATAGAAGGTTTTATATTTGTTTTCATGTTCAAGATCACAATGTAAAGTTTTACATAGAAGGTTTTATATTTGTTTTCATGTTCAAGATCACAAGGTAAAGTTTTACATAGAAGGTTTTATATTTGTTTTCATGTTCAAGATCACAAGATCACAAGGAAAAGTTTTATATAGGATGTTTGAATTTTTCATGGTTAAGATCACACGAGGTAACGTTTTATATAAATGCATTAACTTTATCAATTTAAAGGCTAAGTAAGAATGGTCTTCTTCAGAAATATCCCATTTCCAATCTCTACTTTACCGGATCACTGAGATCAAAGAGTGTTTTTTTTTACTTTCGCAGACATATGCATCATTGCTGAATTAGGAAACCACACATGGGAAGAGAGGGAAAGAGGAAATTTTTTTCTGCCAAGAAGGAAACATTATATTTTCTCATTTTGTAGATACATTAGGACCAGAATACAACCTTTGTTAATTATGTATCTAGGAATATCACGCGTACGGAATTTAGTTTCACTGAACGAAACCGTACATTGCTCATAGAACATTTTAATAATAAGATGTATATATCAATGCATGGAGGTATTCTGTAAAAGTGCAACATTGCATAAGAATATATTAAGGATAACTAACTGCAAGACATTAATCAAGAAAAAAAAGAATAAATTGCTTACATTCATATTTGTAGCCTCCAATGGCCTGGTAGCATATAGCATATACAACCAGGTAATATATGATAGAATTCCATGTCACATTGACGTATTAATACATGCTTTATATCAGGACGTATTAATTATTACGTTATTCTGTCACGTTAACCTGTTAATTGGATATTTTAAAATTTGTTAACATTGCAAGTTAATCTCAGTTGGTTATGCTATTCAGAAATAATCTCTTGTAGCAAGGAATCAAGCCGAGAAGTTAATAGCTTACATTCAAACGTACATATGAAACAGAACAACATTTTGGATAATACAAAAGCTTTGTCATCGCCGAGCCAGGACTAACCTAAGGATTAGCGATCTCTCATTACAAATTGAAGTTGGCAGGTACAACTAGACCCCTATAAAGGACAGAATTTGTACTGTCTGTATTTTATGTTAGAAAGTAATTCTTTTTAAAAATGGTATTGACGGGGAGCCCCCTCGATAAACCCTTAGGTTTCATGAGGCTCCCCAGCAATTTTCGTTGTAAATAATTTGATTTTAGATGTGTTTTATTTTTAAGTGCGAATGACAATTAACAATGCTAAATATACACACTGTCGGACATTTATAAATCTCTTGTAGATTTCCTACAATTGCCTAGTACTCTAACCTAGTGCATTCGGCCCATGTAGGGCGTCGGTATGCAATAAAGTTAATGGTCACCGGGCACCGCTTCTCCTGGGATTTTGTTGCTATTTCCGAACACAATCACACATACAGTAAGAGGAGATCATATATATATCCATATCTACGTACGTAGGCCAATATACATGTAGTGCATTACAAAAGACAGAAAGTATTGTAACAGATAGCAACGCCTAACTCACATCATGTCCTACGCCGTTTACATTTATATCCCTGTAGTAAAGTAGCCTTTTAGACTTGATTGAATTTCAGGTCCTTAGGCCCCAAAATGAAGAAGCTGAATCCATTTAAAGAAATGGCAGAAGAAACATGAGGAAAAACAATATGGTTTCACCACTTTGTGCTGAAGCCATAGTTAGTGTTATTTCCAGCATAATGCATATAGGACATGTTTGTGTTCAGTGTACATGTTGATATTGATGGTGAGTGTAGATATTACGGAGGGAGCAACGGGACAGTTACTGGCCATTCACAACTTAGGCAGGCAGGCAGGCAGATATTACATGTATGGGTGACTAAAAAGGTATGGGTGAGGAAATCAACCCGAAATGTTGATTCATAAAAACATGCTCAAGTGCAGGTCGTTATCTGTAAAAGCGTCTCCACAAGAGATGACAAATGCACGTTGAAATTTTATTGATTTTATTCATAAAGCATTTCATGCAAAGTTTGATCTTGTACCCAAACAGGAACACAATTATATATGACAATAATAATCTAACACCAGGCATGCCGCACACAGACGCACACGTGCACAATTCAAACACACACACACACACACACACGCACGTGCACGCACACACACATGCACACACACGCACGCACACATGCTCGCAAACATACGCAAGCACGCACACACACACACGCGCGCAATTTCAGACATAGGTCAATAGGTATATCTAAATTGAAATGCATACAGACATGATCAAAGATATGCACACCCACTCACGCCCGCATATGCACAGATCTATACAGATTCCAACACGTACATGCATATACAAATACACATGCACACACATATACATGAATTCAGACACAAAAAGACGTGTATACACACATTCACACAAAACACACACAGATACACCGACACTCAAAACAGGCAAGTACACACACACACACACACACACACACACACACACACACACACACACACACATATATTAGCTATATAGACACACATGCACACACATACGTACACAAACACAAAGGCACACATATACACACACACAGGAACAAGATACATTGTACTTTGTACAATACTGTACTCATACAAACACACACACACACATGCATACATACATAAACAAAACCTATACACATACATCCATATATAGACACACAAACCTACATACATACATACATATACACACATGTAAAATACACATGTACACACACACGCACAACGTTACATGCACACACACGGACATACTGTCACAAAATAATGTAACATTACAGAATATAAACATGTCAACATAAAAGTAATAAGTTACATTGCTATACAATTTTACAAAGTAACCCATCAACATTACATTTTGCCAAAATTGGACATTCTTGTCTAGAGGTGACAGGTTGAGTACATGTATGTTGATGGGCACTTGACTTATGTTTAAACTAATTAAGCTGGCCATGCACACACATATTTACAGATCCGTGAATCATTGTCCATGAGATGAGCCTGGTTTGTGTCCGTTAAATCCATCCGGTGTCACCCTTTAGGATGACAGTTATTGCTTACTTGGTAGTTAAGGTATTCCACATGAGTAGAACATGCATTAATCAGCAACATGTGTTTCCAGTATCTATTTATGATACATTTGTCATATCTGGTGTCATAAAATAGTATCTGTTTATGTTACATTTGTCATATCCGGTGTCATAAAATAGTATCTTTTTATGATACATTTGTCATATCCAGTGTCATAAAATAGTATCTGTTTATGATACTTTTGTCATATCTGGTGTCATAAAATAGTATCTGTTTATGATACATTTGTCATATCTGGTGTCATAAAATAGTATCTGTTTATGATACATTTGTCATATCTGGTGTCATAAAATAGTATCTCTTCATAATACATTTCTCATATCTGGTGTGTTTATGATACATTGTGATTGTATACATTGTCTGGTTGTGATAAATTTGACATAGCTTCTTTACCAACAGTCAGGTTCACACAAACCACAACCCAGGAGCCTCAGAGTACAGAACCATTCTGTCCCTGTTTCTTCTCTGTCTGTCTTCTCTGGATCTCTCTTCTCTTTGCCTCTCTTCTCTACATTTCTTGTCCCTGTCCAGCTCCTCTAACAGTTGGTGCATCTGGTCCAGCTGAGTGAACTCAGGGTGTTGCCTGGCAGCTGGCTGCTGTGTTTTACGCCCGTTTGCAGCTGATTTAATCTTGTGTACCACCCCACACACCTCCTCCCACAGGAAGGCAGCCATTCCCACATCCCCAGGTTCACTGTCCTTCACCTCCATGTACACGTCCATGATGATGGTCATGAACATGGACAGGAGGATGAACTGCGCGGTGATCTGAAAGGACAGGAAGATGGCAGGGCCAAAGACGGGGGAGCTCTCTTCTAACACGGCGAACTGAAACGAGCCCAGCATCATGTTGAAAAGGCTGGTGTACGTGCCCAGCAAGCTGCTGTACCCTGGGATGGTGATGCCCAAGGTGAGGTGAGCTGACAGTGCGAACGCTGTGAAGATGATGCATGTTGTGACGAAGAAGCTGATGAGTGGCTTTGCTGTCTTCTTCATGGTGTACAGAAGTGCGTTGACGTGCTTGTTGAACTTGAGAAGCCGGATGAACTTGACTAAGGTGAAGCAAGTGAGCACGCCGAGCAGGTACGTGTACACCTGGTACCACATGGCGGCCGCTCGGTACAGGTGGAACAGGGCGGGACCCTCCCTCAGGTGTCCTGACACCTCGTCTGTCATACCCTGTGCGCGGAAGTACAGCGCCATGGCGGCCATGCCTGTGGTGATGATGAGCATCTCCAGCCAGCTCCAGGGGTCAGTCAGGTAAGCAAACAAGTGTGTGTTGAACCTCAGGACTGGATGGGAGAAAGAAAATGGTTAAAACAGGGAACATGTGCAGATCAAAATAATTAGTATAACAATCCACAAAGTTTAACCTTATTTACAGTCATTGGTGTCTCTTGCAACTGTACATACTTATTAGATTAACATCTAATTCTGATCAGCTCTACCCATCAACTATCTTTGCAAGACAATCTATCCAAGCCCTCTCGAGTGTATTGTGTTTAAAGACAAACTCACAGACATACAGATTATGACAGACACACACACACACAGAAACTCACACGCAAATGATACCAAAAACATAAATTATTTTATATTAACCTTAGGCCACACCAATTTAATTTCTTGGTTAACGGATTTGCCCGCTTCATTTTTGTCTGATTTGCAAAAAAAAATCAGAATCAACTGCAAAACGCTCAGATTTTTCAGATTTTTAAATTTTCTCAGAAAATTCATATTTTGAACCAGCCTGGTGTGTTGACTTCATGGCTCCTATCGTACCATTTTGGGCCATAATACATGTAGGATGCCTAGGCCTGGTTTTATTTTTTTCGCCAACTCGCTCCATTATTTTTCTAGAAAAATCCGTTAACCAAGAAATTAAATTGGTGTCACCTTAGCAGAGATAATAATGGTGTTATCAAGGCCTTGTCAAGAATGTCTTAAAAGCACTGTAAAGATAGACAACCAGTCACGGTGAACGCTCAAACTCAACTGGTTTATTCAATCTGCAACCGGCCGGTTCTAGAGCCCCTTCCCTCGAACGGTACCGGTATAGATCACCTGTTCGAACACGACGCTGGCACGTGCGCTGGCACGTGTTCGAACAGGTGACCGCGGCTCCGCCCAAGGGAGGGGATAGAACCGGCGTTAATACAATGCTTAATAAAACTAACAATACACATTGTTACATTCCTCCCCCCTCACTTAAAAGGTGCCCTCACCTGCAAGCTACTCATGCTAAATACATTACATAATCCAATCTGTTTACAAATCCATTGTTCTATTTCGCAATAGTTTCTTCTGAAATATGTAGACCCATCAATTCTCATAGACGCATTTACAACTATTGTTAACAAATGTATCTTTATCGGTATGCTTTATATAGGCGGGTCATGACTGAAATAAAGGAATCTAATTTTTTTACAAGTCCAATACAATTATTCAAAGTTCATGTCCATAAAGCGGGTGGGCGGTCTGCTTATACGTCCCGAACGAGTCTGTTGTGATGGCGGTGTTGGGGCATCGCGTGGGGTAGGATCAGGTACGGC